GGAGGATAGCGCCATCTAGTATCGAGTAAAGTACAACTATTAAGATTATGACTTACAGAGCTAGATGGCGCTGCAAGTAACGTGTGACTGATTCTGGAATATTCTTGTTGGTCTGGAACGGACTATCGAATACTAGGGGTCTTTCTAGTAAATTCGATATCGCTATAAAAGTGGAGCCTATTGGCCGTTCGAGACAGTATCGTTTTACGACACTGGCGAATTAACATCGGAGTGAATTTCTAGTGCAACTAACGAGATTTATAATGATTTCTAGTTTATTATAGTTAGTGTTTGTAAATACAGTTCAATAAAGTAATTAACCGACAACTTTTATTTATTATATAACCCGTTCGTAACGGTATGCTTTAGATTTACAAATAATTTAAATGATTTAAAAATATACCCAGTGACACTCTGATAATTATCAATCTGATGACAAATCAAACGCCAAAATTCTTCAAGACGTTTAGGATACACAGCGTGTCAAAGAAGTATACATACATAGTATATTTTTTGTGTATGTAAATGTGAGTATAGTGTAGGCTAACAACATTATTGTTTCATAATTAATAACTTTCTGGCAGTTTTGAGTGTTTCATTTCATCCAAATGATTTGCTGGTGGTAGTGTCAGTGGGTCGTTAATTTTGACTAATATCGGTTAAGCTGCACGATAGCTGGGGCCCGTATGCCGTTTGTATGGACAGGTTACTCAAAACTATTGTCCTTTCTTCAAAAGACCAACCCAGACCCTGTACTGTACTCGCAGTTTTCTTTAACTCCTTCGAAAGAAGGTTTTGGCCTGTTATACCACGTTTGCCAGATGGGTTGGAATAGAGTTTCTGTCAAGTTTTCCTTTTCTTTGCAGTGCTATTGACCTGAGTGGTTTGCTTCCTTAGTCGCCTTGTACGACACCCATGGAATGAATAGTAGTGGCGACACTCCTTATTCTTAATCCGTCACTACACAGACAACGCTCTTATCATACCTTATACTCCCTACTCATCTCGAACTAAACACGAGAACGTAAAAGTAAATACATAAACACCATCTCGGTTCTTTCAAACCATAGTCCAATGGTATTTCTCCCCGTTCATATTCCCGTCGCTCACTTCATTTGTCTAATGGAATAAAAGCCTGCATGTTGATTAGAGCTGACTGCTTTGCCGTTTTTTTGTGTGACCTGCGCTTTTTGTTGTGAAGTCGTATGAGGTTTTTCGAAACAAAACAAATGATTTTTCGAGACATCTTTCAGTGTGTCTGAATTAATTTCAGTGTCATTTTAAAAACAGATTTAGTAATACTAACTTATCTTATTCATTACTAGCTGAGACCCGCGGTGTTATCCGCGTTTGTTGTTATAACCGCGGGCAACGCCACGGGGCGAAGCTAGTCTAAAAAAGTAGCCTAAGTTACTCCTTATGTCATCAGCTATCTGCCAGTGAAAGTCCCGTCGAAATCAGTCCAGCCGTTCCAGAGATTACACGGAACAAACAGACATACAGACAAAAATTGTTAAAATGTTATTTTGGCATATGTACCGTGTAAACATACATATGCATTTAGTAAAAAGCGGTTATTTTAATATTACAAACAGACACTCCAATTTTATTTATTTGTATAGATAACACACTTTTTTAAATGACACTTGTAACTAACTAACAAATGGACTGCACTTTAAGCAGCCGCCACGCCGCTTCCTGCTACGCTGAGTGGGTTCGATACCTACATGGGACACCACTTTGTGTGATCCACAAATTATTGTTCTGGGTCTAGGTGTTCTTTGTATCCGTTTCATAAATGTTTTTAAAGGCCCCCGCGACACAGGATGTATATTCCTAATGCGGGGGTTATCTTTAAAAAAAAAACCAACAAAAATTATGTAAACAAATCTTGGAATCAGGACTGCCTCGGTGGTGTAGTGATAGCGTATATGACTGCTGCTCTGAGGTCTCGGATTCAATTCTCGGGACAGACCAAATGTTTGTATGATCTGCAAATATTTGTTTCGGCGTTTGGGTGTTTTGAGTTTTGGTGTGTTTTTTGTATAATATGTATGTTTTTACAAAAAAAAAGTATTCTATATTATATATATATTCTATTAGGTTAACGTCGTTATAGGTTAATTTGAGTCTACACTAAAGCTTGTAGTTTTACTAAACTATACATAAAGCTTAGTTTATGTTGAAAAAAATGGGTAAAGATCAGACTTCGAGACGGTCCGTATGTTATGTGTATAAAAATATACAATAAAATACCACAGACACTTAAAGATTTAAAATCTGATAGCATATTTAAAAAAAAGTTAACTAATTACTTATCACAAAAAGCATACTACTCTCTGCAAGAGTTTTTTGAAGATAGTCCACAATAATAATAACAATAAATACTGTTGTTTGTGATAATGAATTTTAAATTGATTTGCAAAACTAATATTCTATAGAACTAAATTTATAAATTGCATTTATAGGAAAAATAATTAGTGTTACGTTATTCTTCATTGTAACATAATAATATATGTAATTGGAAATTTAATTTAATGTATAAATATTTTAATTTAATGACATACATGATAACGCCTAATACCAACAAAATTGCTGTGCCCTAGCAGGGTTTCATGTCTTTAGAACCAATATTGTAATTAACACCTTATGTACACATGAACGCAATAAAAACTTTGACTTTGACTTGACTTTGACTTTATCGACCTAAACGCACGTGTTTCAGCTATTAAAGGTACTTTGAAATACAAAATAACATATATAAAACATATTGCCTTGGTAAACTGATTAAGCACCCAATGAATATTAATGACCGGGCAATTATCGGCCGTGTCCGTCAGCGAGCTGTCATTCAGACAAGACAATTATACACCCAAATAGCCATTACTCTTTGGTGAATGTATGAAAAATAAAATTATACCGATATTGATATTTGAATTTCAAAAGAATGAAATTGATATTCGGATAGTGAAAATACTGATTTTTATTTGATTAAAGTAATTGATTTGTTTTGTGATAGTAGAGATTTAAGTGGAACATGTAATATAAATGTAGAATTTGGAATATGGAAGAATTGGAGTGTTATGGAAAGTTAAACCCGGGATCATCGCCACCCTGGCAAAGGACAGTGGCAACTGATCTTTGGCCTCTATGAGCACAGGCCTAAGAGCAACGGAGAGAGCTATCTGCTGCCCTAACCGAAGCAGCTACGGGGAATAAAAGGGGTCGCTTTCCTCAACACCTTTCCATTTGTAATTCATCTATAGTATAGTTTTTTTTTTAGAAATACATAAGAATGTGCTGTCCGTGTGGCGACAGATTAAGAATACGGAGTGTCTCCACCCCTATTTATCCCGTGGGTGTCGTAAGAGCCAACTAAGGGGGCAAACTACGCAGATCAACAGCATTGCAAAGAGAAGGAAAACTTGAAACAAACCCTATACCAAAGAATCTGACCAGCGTAGTATAGTACACCAAAACCGCCTTTTTAAGGAGAGGCCTATGTCCAGCAGTGTACTGTTATAGGCTGATGATGATGACGATAAGGCAGAATGTGCATTTTGAAATATGTGGTCCTCGTTGACGTTTGTAGGCTTGCCCCTATTACCTCAGTTGAACTAAATTAATAGCCGGCTAACCACAGGCGCTTAATACTGCTCTATCTACCTCTTAAGGGATAAAAGACATAGGTATGTCTATATGTAAGTTGTCTCAATACGCAAAGAATTGTTCCCTGATTGGTCTGATGATGCCAAATAAAAGCGAAAGAACATCAGTAGGCCGAGAAAGTACGTAAATTGCCAAAACGACACTTATAAATAAGAGCGTATTTTGCCTAGCTCCTCATATTTATAACAAATTACCTACAAATAGTTCTAAATTGATATAAGAACTTACACAATAATGATTTAGTAAAGTCTTAAGGAGTATACTACGCAGTGTTTTTATGATATAGCTAATTTCAATGACCTTTAATTTTTTCTTCTTCTTTTGTCATTAAGTACTGTTATTTGAGTAATTGACGTCTGTAAATTAGTGCCATATTATGATTGATTACGTAAGTTTTGGAGATACGTTAAAATATTTAACTGTACTCAATTTTTGTACTGACACCATCTGACATCTGAATCCAAGCTAGAAATTGAATTAGTGCTGGAATTAATAATTGGGTGAATCTATATCGCCGTTAGTTTTAGCCTTAAAAATATTGAGTCCTCTGTTTGCCTATAAAAGTTGTCGGTTTGTGTAGTCTTAAATAATACTTGTCGTAAATTTGGGAGGAATGGAAAAAGTTATACAACTGATGAATGAGCAGGCTAACCCGTAGTAGTATCTTAATGCTACCGTCTTAATCTTAGTATTTAGAACTGTTAACTGTTAATTTCATTACATACGAACCCTGCATTTTCTTTTTTAAATGGCAGATATTTTACAATATTTTTGGTTTTAAAAAAATTTCATTCATAAAATATGATTATTAAAGAATCTGTGATCGAAAACAACCCCTATATCATAATCAACATTGGTCTTTCGAGCCGGATATAAGATAAACTCTAAAGTGACAAGCGATAGCTCATATGGTGAAAGACATTTATTTTTAATTTTGGATCAGTTTGGAGGAGAATACATAATTACGAATATCGCCACACACGTCAAATGTAATACTACTATCATGTAAACAATAAATATGAACATAGTTGAAGTTAGCACTGAATAATTTACATGAAAACATTTTCGAGCACGTGTAAAGGTGATGCTAAAATCATTTCCTTTTTATCTGTTGGTATAATTTTTGTGTTTTATATGCTCTTTAAATATTTCACTTACTATAGATAATGTGTAAATAAAATAAAATAAAAAAGCCTTTTATTTCATGCATTAAACATCCGATATTGTCATTTTTTTTTGTTTTTGCATTACACTACTTACAATCATGAAAAGAATATATAGAATTGATTTGTTATTAGATTAATTTAAAAGTGAAGATAATGTGTACTTACGTGTATATGGGCATCCTGTCTCCTTCTTTGAACCAGAACATTAGTGCGACTTCGCTCACGGGCGCTGCTAAATCGCAAGGTAGATGCGTCATACTGCCAGGTGCAGTCCAAACTTGAATTACATCTGAAATCATAAAATAAAAACTTATGTTCTTTTTAGAATGTATTTTAGTCTGCGCAACATTGCATATACTAAACTGATAGAACTCTATTAGAACTTTAAAATAATTAACGTCTTGTATCTAACATCATAGTCAAGCGACTGAAACTGAAACACAGGTATTTAATACCAATAACCGGTGGCAATGTCGGACTCGAACCGACTAAAACCGCACGCCGTCTCAGGTACCAGTAGTCGGGGAACCAGGTGTAACCTAGAAAGGAAATTCCTGGTGCCCCGACGTACCTCGGTCCAGCTACGGCGGGTAGACGACCCTCCCTGTGTTCCCCCTGTGCTCCCGGAAGGGCGCGCGCGCTTCATAACGCGCTCGCCGTCACCCCGAGGTATTTACACCTAGATAAGTCCGATTGCAAAAGAATTTGTAATATATTATGATACAAGTATTCCTTTTTCCCTATTCACTCTTGCACATTTTAGTATAGTCATGTACTAGTTTTATGTTAGCTTCAGTTGTTAGCTTTTTAGTTTTATGTTTTATATTTTTATGTTCTTTTTTTTTTTATCAACCGTCTCCGCTGGAAATCATTGGGAGAGGCCTATGTCCAGCAGTGGACAAGCATAGGCTGAGGTATTTTTATGCTTTACTTTTTGTTTTTTGTTACTGCTTTATATAAGAATCAAATTACAATAAACTACTCCTTCCTAAAAGGCCGGCAACGCGTTTGTGACTCCTGAGTTACAGACGTTCATGGGCAGTGATGGTCACTTTCCATCAGGTGACAATACTGCTCGTCTGCCCCCTCTAACATAAAAAGAAATAGTTGTAAATCATATTGAAAATTTAACCAAAACCTTATTCTTATTCTGCAAATATTCTTTTTTTATTTTATTTTGATAGATGCCATACTCAATTAATTTATTCCCATGTTTAGCTCCTTTCGTTTTTCTTTTGTTCTATTATGAGTCCTTCATTTGGTAAATAGGTTACTGACAATCCGCACATAAAAGCGTTGCTGCTAAAAACTATACTAAAAACTAAACTAAAAACTATACTAAAAACTATACTAAAAACTATCCTAAAAACTATACTAAACTAAAAATAAAATAGCCTGTGCCCCGCTTCACATATAAAATATACCCTATCAAACATATAAATAAAAAAATCTTCAAACGGCCTCATTATATTCGAAATCACATTCAAAAGATAAAAGATTCTCCAATAGAAATCATCGGAATGAGGGGGGCAGGCGTGAAAAAGAACCGTTTGGTATTGTCCGTCACATTAGTGCAGGAAAATCTCACGTTTAATGACGACCCTCGCGCTTTTGTGTACGGGGGGGCCTTGTCGTGTTCCCCCCTGCTAACTCGATTCACACGTTTCGAGGCCTTTGATCTCTATTCTCTTTCAGTGTAGGCTGCCCATGAATACTGTTCCTTGTATTAGTTTCTTGACTTTAGTATTTTTATGGTATATTGTTGAACGAGCACACGGGTCACCTGATGGTAAGTGACCACCCCTCTCATGAACACCTAAACTGAAGAGTCACAATTGCGTTGCCGCCCTTTGAATAACCCCTCCCTGAATCAGAGGGGTTGAAGAGGGGGGGGGGGGGTTTAATGTCCAGTAACCTCAGTCACTTATTTTTACGAATGAATAAAGAAAAATGGCCAGTGAGACTCACGATAAAGTATTTAATAAATCATCATTATCTCAGATGATGATTTATGAAATACAAGGCAGGCCCAATACAAGGTGGTCCCACGACCTGGTTAGCCGTTGAATGCAGACACAGTACCGGTTGCTGTGGAGAGCTTTGGGAGAAGCCTATGTCCAGCAGTGGACGTCTTTCGTCCCTACCTATAACCCTATACATATTTTGAGACAATTTCAACAAAACATATATTAAGGGAGATAATAATCATCATCATCACCCACGAAAGACATCCATTGTTGGACATAGGCCTCCCAAGGCAATAAAAAATAAGTTTATTTACCTTAATATACTCGTATGTTTTTTTTATGGAATAGTAGTCAAACGAGCAGACCGGCCACCTGATGGAAAGCGGCTACCGCCGTCCATGAATGCTTGTAACTCAGTTAACATGTTTAATTGATATTGTCTCAAAATATTATAGGAATGTGATGGCCCCTCTACACTATGTCGTATTGGACGTTTTGTCGTCTCGCCTTCATTACGTCATACTACGCCACTACTTAGGCGAAAGACTTGTGATTATATTTCTCTTTATTGTATTTTGTTATAATTAAATTTCCTTTGATTTTTCGACCTTTGTTGTTTGTCTTATTAAGAATTGTGTCGTTTTTTTTTTGTTTGTTTTGTTTCCGATTTCAATTATACTATTTTTTTTTTCTAAAACAACAATTTAAAGGAATAATAGTAAATTTTAAAACTGAATATTTATCTTTTGAGATCTTTAATAATAATAATAATAATAAAAGTTTATTTCAGACTTATGGTCCATATTTATGTTAGTATTTTAGTGTTAGTAACAATAGTGCTTAAGTTGATAGGTTAGTATTATTAGTAATTACATTTTATACTTAAATTAACTATTTGTATAGATCTATGACTGTCCCCACCCATTGTTTCTGGAATGGGCAGTCCGGTCTGGCAGCGATCATTTATTTGATATATTTATTTATCATATTTTAAAAGAGGGCTGCGGGAGAACAAAATTACATAAGTGAAATAACTTAAGTACTTCCCATTCTTAGTGAAATCAACTAAAACCTTTCATTAAGGCTTTTAATTGAAATTACAGTAAACAATTTCACAAGATTACATCAAACGGTGTTAATGCGATTTAATTTGAATAAACTTTAGATTCGAGTCACTATTTAGCCAACTTATGTTGGCAGTAGTTAAAATAACAGCCTGATTGCATTTTTTACTTATTTTATTTTAAGTAAGCAAAAGTTTTATACAAAGTAAATAAAAAAGTAACTTTTATCTTTATATAAATATATATCACAGCCTTTAATAGTCCACTGTTAGACATATGCCTCTCCTTAGAAAGGAAGTTTTGGGCATAGTAGCCTGACCAGCTGACCAGACAGGTTGGTATTGAGTTTGTGTCAAGTTTTCCTTCTCTTTGCAGCTCTGTGAACCTACGTAGTTTACTCCCAAGGTCGGTTCTCACGACACCCATGGGATGAAAAGGGGTGGTTACATTCCGTATTCTTAATCATTCCCCACACGCTATTTTTACGATCAGCGATAAGAGAATTGTTGAAAACTGTAGAAAATTAAGACATACGATCTTATTTTAATTATCCATTTAAATCAAAATGTTTTTTGACTCTGATCAAAGAAGAAAATACGCCGTGACGTCTAGAAGAAAAAACGGTTCGAGGCAACTGCCGGCTTTCCTTACTGTTAAAAGAATTGTAATTTTATGTTTAAGAGATGATATTGATTAAAGTAAAATGAACCCTATACAATTGAACTATAATGGTGACTTTACTCTACCGCTCAGCCATCACAGTAAGTATAATTACCTTCTTCATTTATAAGTAAGTTTAAGAAAATAACAAAAAATAAAAACATTTACGACGTTCATATTTTAGATGAAGAAAGCAGACATATTGGACTAGAGAAAATGAAAAATGGTGACGTTACAGTAAATAGTGGCTCTGTACAGCTGACTTGGGAGTTTTTCGCATGTCTCCACACATTAATAAGCCCTAACACAAATTGGAGGGAGCGGGTAATACGGTCTGGCGTAAGACGTAAACTTCTTACGCTTTTTTATTTAATATTTGAAAATAAACGGGATCTCTAACAAACTGCCGGCGGTTCTATTTATTTCTCTGCCAAACTATTTAATATAGTAGGTGTTTCTTGTATTTATTTTAAGGTTTTGAAGGACAAGTGTAAGAACTTTAATTGCGGGATAAAGGTCAGTTATAATCAAGTAGTTCTTCCTGTCATCGCTAGATGGCGGTGAAGTATGAATTGTGACAAATAGAGACTGTAAAGCTGTTTAATAATGTCTTGTCAGAAAACCTGTGTTAAGCAATTCTTTCGTTGCCTTTAACTGAGTGAGTGAGGTTACCGGAGCCCAAATCCCCCCTCCCGCTGACTCGAGCGGGAGGGACTCCAAGGGCGGCAACGCACTTGTGACCTGAGTTGTAAGTGTCCATGGGTGGCAGTAGTTGCTTAACATTAAGTGACCCGTCTGATCGTTTGCCCCCTTATGCCAAAAAAAAAGGTTTCATGAAAATGTTTTTTCAATGGTACAAGGGGCAAACGATCAAATTTGAGGAATTTCAACAAAATGAAAGTAGAAGGGCATAATTTAAAAAAAAAGCACCGTATTTTTTAATGTGGTTAAAGTTCTAACACCATACGTGAACATCTATTGTAATGCCTATAATGTAAGCCAGGCGTTGATTTTTAACAAAGGCAAAATGAATTTGTAAATACCCTTTTAGATACACGGTATTTACAAACTCATTTTGCCTTTATATGAATTTTTAAACAAAGTTTTATATCGCGTGTTACACACTGTGAGCAGATGGGAGCGAGACCGAAAAATGTATAACAAGACTTTTTTCCGACACTTCGGTTAGCGCGTTAACGCTCACATCTTTTCCATATTTCATATATACGAGTATAGCAAACATCTTTTTTTTTTGTTGACGGGGTGGAAAATCCCTTCGGATCTCCTGCTCCTCGGGGACTATGAGCCAGGAGTATGTGATGATTCCACTAAAAACCACCCCGACGGCCGGTCTCAGGTGTCCTACTCTGGGGAGGACCCGGACCATGTTATTTCAGGTCCTCCCCGAATTGACACCATGCCTAATCAGGCCCTATCCCAGGGGAGAACACTTCCTCCCTCAATCGCGGCATGGCGGCCCGATCGCATTCCATGCCCTGCCGCAGCAGAGTATATCAAACATCTACCAAAAAGATAAACCCCTCACACCGTTTTTTTAGATACAAC